GCCACACCTTGACATACGCACAAGGGTGTTTTTATAGTTTGAACATATTTTAAACCGGAACGTTATTGGTAAAATGAGAGTGCTCGTTGAGTAGTTCAAACCTTAGACTATACGTTGAACAAGTCTGTTCTTCAACCAGAACTCTCATTTTAAAACTCCGTTCTGCGTTTCGGCACCGTGCATTCGGGCCAGCTCGCTAGTACCCTCTCCTCTACTAGTGCTCGTTTGATATGAGAAGCTCGGGGCAGAGGGCGCTAGTGGGTGAGGAGTTCAACTGTGGTGCGCGCGATTCAAACGCTTGGTGTAGGGGTACCGAAATACGCGTTTGCGAAGCGGCGAAGAAATATAAAGAGTAAATGTTAACACTAGATGTAAGATTGGATAGAAAATAATAGATGAAAGTCAAGAAATATTTCAATTCCGTCAAAAATAACTTGTTAAATCACATTAACGAAGGCAGGTAGCAGATGTCCAAATTGAGGGAAAGAAAGCTTCTCTCAATGACATAAACGTTAAATTAGCAAGGGTAATGTCATTTATCGGATGCTTTCACTCAGGCAGACGTAGATTTTAATATTATATGAGTTATTTCATATTTTTAAAGCAAAAATACGAAGAGAGGAAGGCTCACAGCAGCGGCGGCATGTCGGCCCAACTAAAACGACTCGCTCTTTATTACGGCGAATAATTTCCTCTGCATCTCTTCGTTAGAAATGCACCCTATGTCTATTGTCCCCGTTAACACAAGAAAAAGCCGAGATTTCGGTCAATTTCTTTTAAAACAAGCACTTGTTCGATGCCACTGTTACCCATATGACACAATGGGGAAGCGCGGTCTCGAAGCGAGAGTTGAACTCTTGGCCCACTAGCGCTCCTAGCGGCCGCAACTGGCAGTCGCCATCCCCATATCCCCTTAACAAGAAGTACTTTTCATTTAATGGGTTGCCTAAACTGCTTCCCATGGGCGCCAAAAGTCCAAAGTTGTCGCCAATCTATGTCGACTGTGTCAGCTGTGTCTAAGTTTACAGCGGGTACAGAGAAAATGCGAATTCGGGCTAGTCAACAAGTAGTGTGCACAATGAACTTATACCCAATACAAGGTGGTCGCCGTGCCCCGTCGGGGCAAATGCGTCTAGCCCCGCATTACAGACGTGCGGACGGGTTGCCTATTCGCACGGGGCCATAAGGCGCCATGGCTAAAGATGATAGGCAAAACCGTTAATAAAGCAGCTCGACATGCAAGTTACGTAGAACGACCATAATGGGAGGGCAAATTATGTATCAATCTTTCCTCTGGTAAAAATGTGTTCGCGCCTGAGACAGGCATCTGTCATGTATACGAGAGCGTCACAAAAAAAGAAAAGAAAAACCTTCGATCAACAACACTGTAGGGAAAATTCATTAAAGTACACTGCGCGAAAGTTGTCTCGGGTTCCTTCTTCCCCCTTCTCTCATTCGTCAACAAGTTTAGTGCAGGGTAGGGTTGCATCGGCCCACCTCAATAAGGGAGGGAACACCCCTCCCCCCCCTCGCTCCAACCCCTTTGCAACACCACCCCTCACCCCTCCACAACGATTTCAGAAGACCTGGGGAAGAGGACGAGAGGGTGGCTGACAAAGAGGGTGGCGGGACGTGACGCGGCGAAAGGAGGGGGATGAGGGATGAGAAAAGTGGTGAGAGGGGGAAGGGTCCGGAGCGATAGGGGCAGTAGAGAAGGCTGTGCAGATTATCCTTGCAGAGCATACGTGGCCGCAACATTTTCTTTAATGTTTGCCAAATATTAGGGGGTTGAGTCGAATATTTTCGATAGACAAAGCAGGTTTTCCCTATTTTCGAATTAGGTAAGTGCACCTGGGCCCTAACCAGAGTGTGGCAAGTCTGCATTCAGGTGAAATGGGAGGCAGTGTTCCACTTCTTGAACTAGGCCAACTATTAGGCAAAAGATTTCCCAAGCCCCATTTATTGAAGGGCTATTCCTCGTCAAGTGTTTGAACTTTACGCGCCGAACAGTATTATCTGTTGTAACGTCACTGCATTTGGCAACGGCGCAATACTTAAAACGTCAGTCATTTGCGTTTACTTAAAACCGATCAGCCGGCAACTGCATCTCAGGGGTTGTGAATGTCGTTCGTTTTCTTAATTTCGGAGGTACAACTACCGTCATGAGTGTAAATCTTCGCTCATTTCTCTATGACATGGAAAACCTGATTCGACCTTAAGCCTGAAAAGACTGTTGCTCATACCAAACAAGGAGCTTAGTGGCAGGTGAGAGAAGAAAGTTTATGAATGCAAAGTGTCATAATTTTCGTGTTCTGTTATTGTCTTAGGAATCAAAGTATATGACACGAAATATCTGCACTAATCTCTTTTCATTATGATTCGATTAATAATCAGTTGGGCCTGTGTATATCTTCACTCATTCTTAAGCACTATAACCTATTTGTAACCCTAAATTTATTTCTGCTTATTTCTGATGATTGCATGTACTTTGTCGCCCTCTGTAGATATCTTCAAAGCAATTTTATCATTTCAATGTCATGGAGTCTTTGGCATTTTGTATGACTTTTTACTAAAAACCATTGGTTAAGGTTCAACAGGTTTTGTTGTTTGTTTTTTTACCAAGAGGTGACGGACTGTTAAAACTTCAACTACTTGTACCTCCTTATTTATATAACTGTGCAACAAACTTAGCTCATGTCCTTATGAATCTGGATTAGATTTTGATAGGCCTGAGAATCTGTCATTACAACTACAGCCAGAATTTATAGGTTTCACAAGGTTAAACATTTGCCCCTCTATTGTAAACTAAACATGAATTGCATGAATGTCAATTTCAGCATGTAAACTTTCCTGGAATGCTTTGCATGAGGGTGTGGTGTTCTTATAAGCGTTTTGTTTCCAGGATGACACTTCGCACAAACATTGGACTCACTCACAGGCCTGGTATGTTCCAGAAGTTAGTCTAGAGATAGTTAATTACTTCAATTAGGAAACAAAGCAAGAAGTAAACAAACTACGCTTGGGATTTCAGTATTTTCACACCCTTTCAATCTCCCTGTCATCTTGTCTTTTAAACAATTCTCAATCGCTGTATTTGATATTGATAGTTGTAGTCTCTGAACATGCTATAGAATGCATCCAAAAATTGTACTGACCAACTTTTTAGGTATATTTTCCCTCTTCCAATCATCATACACCATAACCATAACATACACTGCATTGTTTTGTATAATTACTGTCCAAACTCATTAACAGATTAATCTCTCCCTTGTTCAGGTACTCTGGCAACCATGCCCTCCCCTGTTATGGTGCAGTCTGCCCCAGCTCAACCATCTGGATATGACACAGGTCTTTCAGTCATGGGTATGTCATGCTAAAAATACATATGTTTTTGTAAGTTCCTTTTTTTTTATCTGAATACTTTTACATATTGCTTCTGGTTTCAGAACCCAAGGCCAATGAAATTATTGAACAGAATGAAAATGGTGGAGCTGAGGCAACTAATATCAATAACTTATTGGCAAACAATAAAGAAAAGACGCCAATGTGTCTGGTTAATGAGTTGGCTCGGTACAACAAGGTGTGTCTATTTTCATACTTTTTTTGTGGTGATGAAATTAGAAATGTTTATTGACATTTCTTTCATTTGTATTACAGATCCCTCATCAGTACCGGCTTACAAATGAACAGGGACCAGCACATCGCAAACAGTTTACTGTTACACTTAAACTAGGTGAAGAAGAATACACAGCAGAGGGGGCTAGTATTAAAAAAGCTCAACATCAAGCAGCAAGTATTGCACTTTCAAAGACAAACTATAAGCACCCACCCTCTAAGCCTCGTTCTAACATCCGTGTCGGAAAAAGTAAGATATTGTACCTGATATTTTTGAGGCAACACTTCTGGTTCTCCAAGGCTCTAACAGACCCCTTTTCTTTTCACACAGATAATATTACACCTACTGTTGAACTAAATGCATGGGCTATGAAGAGAGGGGAGCTGGCAACTTATCACATGATACCTAATGCCTTGCCACCTATTCCTCATGTGGGACCGCCATGCCCAGCAATGGCTCCAGGTTTGGGTCCCATGACAAATTACATGCCTCCTGTAGGACCACCACCTCATATGCCCTACCCTGGATATAGTAACTTTAGACCTCCATATAATCATCATCAGGTACTAAATAATTATTTGTTTGAAGAACTAAGTCAACCTACACCCTTGAAGACATTTTTAACTTAAAATTTATCATATGTTAGGTTGAATTTCAGATTCGACCTCCAAACCCCTGTGGAGAAATGGCAGCGTGGGGACCTCCCCGACCCACTATCAATATGTATGCAAGACCTCACCTATCAAAATATGAACAGCAGGTAACCTTATGACTTTTAAATCTTCAGGTTAAAGTTATAAATACCAGTAATTAACAAACTTCTTACATCTTTCTAGCGGTATTATGCAAAGCCATCAATCTATCCTGGAGGTCATCCAACCTTCACTGTCATGGTTAAAGTTGGAACTCGTGAATTTCTTGGGGAAGGAGCCACTGCACAGCTAGCAAGGCATGCTGCTGCAGCAAAGGCATTAGATGAAATTCGTCAATTACCTCTTCCAGATGAAAAGATCTCCCCAGTTTCTGAAAATGGTAATTTGCAAAACATGTCCCAGATCGGTTTAGTTTTCAAAAAAAATTGTGGTGTAAGTTCTTAACACTTGTGTATGCTTGTAGGAACTTTGCCAGTTAAAGAAGAAACTGGGTCAGAGATAAAGTCACCCATCTCACTAGTTCATGAAGTTGCCTTACGACGTAATCTGACTGTAAAGTTTGAAGTTGTCAGAGTTACTGGTCCACCTCACATGCGTTCTTTCCACACTGTTTGTACAGTGGGTGAGTTTACTACAGAAGGCATTGGAAATGGAAAGAAGGTAGGCAACTGTTTCTGACCATAGCATTTCAAATTATTTGGGTGTCTTTTCATACTTTTCTAAGAATAAAACATCTGTTTCTCCCTCTCTCTAAAGTTATCAAAGAAAAGAGCATCTGAAAAAATGCTTGAAGAGTTAAAAAAGCTACCACCTGAATCACCATGTGTAGTAGCAGCAGTTGTCCCAGCAAATGCAAAAGTCAAGCGAAAACCTACACAAAAGAAAAAATCTAGAAACCTTATCAAGGTGAGGCCTAATAATTTTACAAATTAATTGTATGCGCTTCAGAAGAAGACATATTAAAATAATGTAAATCTAATTTTTAGGAGCCTAAACCTGCATCACCTGTTGAAAGTCCTACCCATTCAGTCGTGCCAGAAAAAGAAGAAATGAACCCTATTTCTCGTTTGATACAAATACAACAGGCTAAGAAGGACCAAGAACCACTGTATAAACTTGAAGAAGAAAAGGGGGCACCAAGGCGTAGAGAATTTGTAATGTCTGTGAGTACTATATTGTGTTGAAATTGTTACACTTCTGTATCTTATACTTTTAATTGATGTACTGAATAATTTAACTCAAAAGCACACGTAAAATACTAAATCACAATTGAAACTCAATCTATTTTTTTTTCTAGGTCAAAGTAGGAGATATTGTTTGCAAAGGCACTGGACCAAACAAAAAATTAGCTAAACGAGCTGCTGCAGAAGCTATGCTGCTTGAATTAGGATATAGCCGTCCTCCATCTGGTTCATCAGGAGGAGCTTGTTTGAAAAATTCTAATGGAAAAGAAACGAGAAAGGTTTGAGAGAAAATTGTTCAAAACCTCCCTTATCCAAGTTGATTTTCTCATATTCTCAAACTGACATGAATTTCATACTCTTCTAGGTCCCAGATACTCCCTCAGTTGGTGGAACTAGTGGGCGACAACTTGTACCAGGTCTCTTATTAGTTCCAGATAGTAATTATGTTCCACCGGTTAAGGGCACAGGTAAGGTGTCGATTGTTTCTAATCAATTACCAAAAAGTAGTCAAAGATGCATTTTAATCAATCTTTTTCACATAAAACTCTATTTTTTAGAGTTTTGTTTTGGCCAGGTATTTGGCAAAAAAAATATTCTTATTTGTCTAGATCTTAATTTTTAACTTTTCTTTTAATTACAGTCATATCTCCAGCTACCTCATCCATGGCTAAAGAACTACTTCAAACTGGAAAAACTGGAGCTGACCCACAATCGTCTGAAAATACAACTGTTGTCAGTCCTAAAGATCAGCTGTTGTACTTAGCTCAATTATTGGACTTCAAAGTACAGTTTTCAGATTTTCCAAAGGTAAAGCTAAAATTGACTGAAATTGGTACCATAATATACAAATTTGTACTTTACCCATACACTGTTTAACTATTTATTTCATTTATAGGGTAATCACAGTGAATATTTGAGCTTGGTAACTTTGTCCACCGCACCCCCTCATGTTTGTCATGGAGCTGGTCATACTGTTGAGGCATCCCATGATCAGGTAAGCTTTCCTACATGCATCAACAAATTTCAGCTTCCTTTCAGCCCCTCTAACATAATATCTTAATTTACAGGCGGCTCTAACAGCATTAAAAATGCTTGCTGAAATGGGTCTTGATATGTTTTCAAATAAGAAAGAAACTTCTCCTAGCCCAACACCCTCAAACACAGTAGAGGGTTGATCACTTTGATATAAAGTATGAAATTAATGAAAGAATCACTGATTGAATATTTTGTATCGCCAAGATTAGTAATTTTCTCATTTTATTTTACATTCAAGTCCTCAGATAACTGCTATTCAATTTATTAGCCTTCCGTTAATGTTCAGAAGAAAATAATTTAAATGCAGCATTTAACATAAGCCAACAGCCATGATAAACAAATAGATCAGGATGCAGGTTGCGGCCACCCTGCATCCAGATCATAATTTTGTGAATTTAAAAATTATTTTGAGCTGGGTTAATGTTTACTTTGTTAAACATTACGCCAGTAGGTGCCAAGCATATTCAAGCCATCCATTATTGCTTCACAAGCCAGAAGTGATGCAATAACAAAGGCTCGGAGGGAGTACAGTCAATTTCCGTTAGTGCGACCCCACTGGGACCGCGGCCCAAAAACGTTATAACGGGGAAATCGTTGTATCCGATAGCATTAACAAGAAAACTAATGCCATGGGACGGCGGAAAAAATCGTTATAACGGGGAAATCGTTGTATCCGGGGGTCGTACTAACGAGTTTTGACTGTATAATGTACTGTACCATCCCTATTTGCTGCCAAATTTATTCTGAGATTCTGTTTTACATGTCATATACTTTGATTTCTCTTTGATTTAACAATCTATGTATAAAGGTAATTACTATTCCTCCTCATTGGCAAAAGGCCAGATTTGTGTTTTGCATTTTACTTTTTAATTTATGCAGTCTTAGCATTTGCTACAAATAGGATAGAAAGACATTTTAGTCTGTCTAAAACCTTTCTAAATCTCTAAGCCTTCACAGTAAGTTGTTGAGAATTTGCTCTGATTTGAGCTCATATTTGGCAGCAAAGAAGTCAGTATTGTATTAAAGAAATGTTACTGTTACATGCCCGGCACACAGTAGAAAAATACTTCAAAAAAGTGTCTTTGTTCTGTGTGCCTAAGTGATAGGTATGTCATAGTGTTGAATTTAAAGGAACAATGAGTTTGAACAATGACTCCTCATTTGAAGTCAGCATTTTAACAACCAAAGACTTTGATGCACTGCATTATTATATTTTATATACTGCATCAATAATGCTATTTTAAAGATATCCAATTTATGTCCCAATAAGAGGGTCAAATCTCAAAATGTTTAGGTAAGCCTTTTTTTTTCTTTTTTGAGTAAATATTGCTGGAATCTTGTGGGTTCCCTTAGTTGCTACTTTAAGCTTTGATTGGTTTTGTCTATTACCTTCTTAGTGTTTTATCAAATGCCTTTTTTGTTTTTTGTTTTGGTAGAATCTTTCATTCCTAAGTGCCTATGTGTAGCTCTGTTACTTTCTTTTTTTTCTTTGTAAGTGTATGTTGAGTTGTGTACTAGATCAAGGTACATTTAATCTTTAACAATACCTACTTTTGTGACGCATAAGACTATAATCATCAATAATATATTGGCTGTTTGAATGAATTATTCTATTGCACTTACTTACAAAGTAAGTGTTTGACCATAACTCAAGGTTTTATTTCAACCAAATAATGCATTGTGATGGTTTTATTTAACTTATTTTCCCTATGGCATCTGATGTCTGTACATCATTTCTACAGTGATTCAACAGATAGTATTTGTATTCAGTTCATTTGTTGGTATTATTAATATCCTCACATAATTCATATCTGTTTTGTGTTGCAATTTTTAGCAATGTCCTTCATCTCTTCTATCAATCAATTTACTTGTTCCTTTTGTAGTGCACATGACATAAGAAAGAGAGGACATACTTTGTTGACCATTTAATATTTCTCATTTCTATGTCATGTCAATGATTGTTGTCAATCTTTGTCAATCTCAAATAGCAAAGATCATGTCATTGTGATTAGATTTATTTCGTTCCAGTAAATCAGTGAAACTGTTTTATCTGGCAGTCAATTTTCCTTATTTTTACAAATAAATTTTTGAAAAACTTTTCTATTGACTCTGATTGGTTGAATTTTTGGAAGCATCCAAGCTATCTTGACTTATAGATAATCGTTTTGCTGTTCCAGAGGGGTTTTTGTTTGCAATCTTGAGATTGAATATCTTCGTCTTTTCATCAATGCTGTTGCAAGACCAAAATCAGTTGAGGATTGCACATGAATTGTATTTTCTACACAATTGGATCGTGAAAAGTACCTTTGTCTCAATGATGTCACTTCTGTTTGGAGGACCCTGTTCTGCATTTCAAATTGTGCTTCTCGCCATTTTAGACTTTCTGAAACTTGACGATGAGCTTCACGCAATTCATCTGAAAGAGCCTGCAGTTGAGCGTGCTCAGCCTGTCACACCAAACCCAGTCCTAAATTTAGCGCCACATGAAAAGTGTGCATGTTAAGTGATAAACATGCAGACAACCGCACCTGCAATTGCCTGCTCTGGCGAGTAAGCCAGTCACAGATATCTGCCATAAGATGTCCGACTTTGGAGACGTCTTCTTTGTTTAGCGACCTCAGGACCTCGGCAACCTCGCGCACCGAGCGACAAATCAATCTCCCATGCCATGCTCCGCAGAACTATTTGTCCACCCTTCCTTCACCTACCTCGTGCCAGTAGTCAGCTCGTCCGTCTGCCTTTGCGCCCCACTCCTCCTCCTCGTCGTCGTCTCCCTGCTGTTGACCCGGCTCTTGGCTGGCCACTGTCTGCTCCGCGGCGAGCCTAGCAGACCACTCGGCCAACTCCTCGGCCACCACGGCGTGCATCAGCGCGCCAGCATCGCGCGTGTGAGGGCAAACACGCGTCAGGAGCAGCCACAGGGGCGCCTATGGTGGAGCGAAAAACGACAATGCAGCAATTTTATTTTTCTATTTTTTTTTGGGGGGGGCGGGATTTCTAGGGGCATCATGGGAATATCGTGCGACATGCATAATATATGTAAACTTTTATGCTGCCCGTGCTTTAAAAAGTAGGACCTCAGACTGGTCGCTCTTATACTTTTGGCCAGATAGATGTCCTCCACTACACTCACATCTTCTGCCAGCTCCTCCATTTGGGCCGCGACGTCCCTCTCGCATTTTGGATCGGCGATATGACTCTCCCAGTTTGACGCCGCGCCGCGCCTGCATGTACCACCAGGACATGGACGTGTAGCTCACGAGACCACAGAAAGGGACCCCCCTCCTCACCCCGGAGCTTGAAGCCCTCACGCTGTACTTACGCCCCCTGGTGGCTGTCCCACAGGTCGTCCCTTCCTCTGCCGGCCCAACTGGCGGCGCTGTCATTGAAGCTGACGTCCTTCTTCTGCGCTAGCGCACGCCTAAAGCCAGTCACCTGACACGACGTGTCCAAGACCGCTGCGGTCACGTCGGATTCTGGTCCAAACTATAAAAGACTCAGACCGAATTTATGGACATCGGAAAAGGCAAAAAGTCGAATCCCTCAGAGAAGGCCATTCATTCTGATGTACCAGGACTTCCTTGAGGTCGGGTAGCGGTCCTTCAGTGGGCGGCTGCGAAAAGGGGAAGCGCAGCTGCTTGCGCTGCAGCTGGTAGGCAAGATAGCGCGCATAGTCGAGAGCCTTGCTCTGGTCCTTCCCCGAGGAACAGGCGTCGGCCAGGCGTTTGACCCAGCTCTGCAACAGCTCCTGATCTACTCCAAGGGAATCATGGGGTAGTCGTCACGTTTACCATACCACACTACCACCTACGACTCAATAGCACCCTTGGCCTCACCTTCCAGTTCAATGAGAGGAGAGTATTTGTAGATATCGCGCATGACATCTTTAAAGTCATCTTGTGACGCCATTTTTGATACCGTTTGCCTAGTGTTGGGGCGTGCGGGCGTGCGTGAAGGGGGTGCGGGACGTGCGGGGGTCCGCGGCGACTTCACTGCAACAATGAAGGGGCGATGTTGACCGGTCATCGGCCAGGAGGGACCTAGAGGGTAGGCAACCCATTTCACACGCATGCTTCTTGGGTGGAGGTAGGTGGAGGTCCTTGTTAATTCAGGGGTGGCTTCTCTTGATTCACCGGCTGACTGGATATATAGAGATAGTTAGAGAGATTTATTTTTCGAATTTTAATTACTGTTAATGTACAAAGAGGCAATCAAAAGAAAATCATATTAAATTTAGAGGGTCTAAAAGTCTTGTCTTCTGTTCTGTTTATCCATGGATCGCATCTTCTTTTTCAGCAATCGCTGCCTGTTTGCAGTTTCCAGCCTGTAAATCAGAGATAAAATTGAAGAACATGCTCTAAAAGCTGTATCTTCCAAAATTGCAGGAAACTCACCTTCGCAATTGCAAAGCCTTATCTTCTTCAGACAGCTCCTTAACCTCTGGACCCTCAGCTTTCCAAATCATTTCTCTTATTTTCTCTAAGCAATTAGATATATTTAATTGCTGTGATCTAGTTCTATCAGAAGTGACAAACAAGTAACCGTCTGATGTCATACGAGTTTGGCACTGCAGAGTCATAAAATAGAGAATATTAGATAAAATCCACAATGAGTGTCTTGAAATTGAAGAAAACTAAAATTGTCTTACGTTTGCTTTAATTTTATCTTTCAACTCCTGGTCTAGCCATTTTGCATCATCTACCCGAAAACGTACATCCACTTTAGTACTGACTTTATTGACATTTTGTCCCCCTGGACCACTGCTGCGTGATGCTGTTATTTGTAATTCATCTGTCAAAAAGATATAAACTGTATTATTGTCTTGTGCCATAAAATTATAGATTTTCAAATAACGGCTGTCATTTTATTCTGAACTATTGGTGTACTTCAGAAAAGAAACAGAACCGACGTACCTATTGGGATGTAACCACTAAAACGTTGTCCTTTAGGAAGAGGAATCTATGAATCAAGAATAAATAGGTAGATGAGATATGAAAGCTGTAAAACAATTTTCAATGACAAATTCATTTTTTACCTCAGATGGAGCTGGTGTTTTGATTTTGAGAGAACTGGAAGGGTACAGGTTTCTAAGAGAAATAGAACTTTCAAAAGACAATGACCGGTTGGCAGTCAAGGTTTTTCCGGAGAGCCATAATTGGGTTTGCAAAAAACGCACACATCGAAAACTCGCATTCATTTTTTCACAATATTTTCGGTAAATGTGTTAGAAATGTAAACTTCCTACTTCCTAGCAGAAGATGTAAAACATAACCTAACCTAATCGTGGCCTTCTCTCGTAGAGAAATTACGACTTGCAGGACGCCAACTTTCTTTGGATCTGAAGTTAAATTGAGAAGAAAGAACATCCACATGACGACTTACTGAAATCACTGAGTGATTTATGGGATGAGTGGCAACGAGAAACGTTACTGGTGTAGTTTTAATATCTTTCAACCTCAGAATGAAATTGAAGGAAGTTGCCCAGCATGACTCTTTCCGCTCACATCGGCTGTTCAGCTATTCAAACCAGATCGCATTATTTTTAGCTTAGGTTATCGTGGATTGTATGACTTCTGATCCGTTCTGACTGGTGTACAGTTACTTATCACAAGTCACAAGTGGTAGATAGGCTCAAAAATGAACTTCTCATCAGACACTACTTTCTAGATAATCATTGCTTTGGCCTTTATTGCCATTTCATTCCCGTATTGAAGGGATGTATGTAGATGGTAGTTTCAAATGCAAGTGGCAAACTGGAAAGCTTCGTTCTTGAAATCAAAACCGGGTCGTCTAAACAAAATAACCATGACCAGTGCGTACGCGCTCATAGCTCCTCGCTGCTACTCGTCGCCCATGCCTCATCGGTCTCTGAGTAACTCTTTGAGTCTTGAGTAACGCTTGGTAAGGCCGCACCGCACGCGGCGAGCCAATAGGGCGTGGCCTGGCGGGCTGGCATGGGGGCTGGGGTCGTGTGTGGTGTCGTGGCTGGGCGGGGCTCAGGGGGGGGGGGGTATTCGCCCATGGCTCGGCCTGACTGTTGCTCCTGCTTTCTCCTGCTCATGTCAGCCGATGCTGTCGCCCGCCTGGTATACTGACATCATCTCTGCCGTTGCTGTGTGCGTACGTGTGCGTGTGTGTTGTTATACCCCCCCCCCCCCCCCGTGCGTGTGGACTGGCTCGGGCTGGCTGGCGCTGCGCCACGCTAGCCACGTCCATTCTTTACCGCCTGATTGCATTCTGTAGCGCTAGTTCGGCCATTAAGAGAATTAAATAACTTAACCCCATTGTCGGGCGACTGTTGCGTGAGGTGCCGGTGGAGCCCGCCGGCCGGTGCTGCCTGCTGCTGCTGCTGCGCGCCGTCCTGCCGTCTTTCTGGGTCTGGCCCTCGTTGGGGCACACCGCATAGGCCGTTTCTTATTTTATCTCTTCGTCCCTTTTCAACAGCAACGACTTAAACTTGCGTAGAATTGGATTTTCCATTTTTATTTAAAAGCGGTTGTTTGCATGTATGATTTTGGTTAATAAATGACGATGATGATACACTTGATCCCATGGCGTCCAATCAGCCCCGAGTCAGCCCCTCTGGCACGCACGTCTCGCTCGCTCTTGAGGCTCTTGAGGCTCCAGGACGAGAGAGCCGGGAGGACAAAGAGGGGTCAGCAGTCAGCAGAGCAGCAGGCTCCCTCCGCCCGTCTCGCTCGCACCTGCAGCCGCCCCGCACTCGCTCCTCCTCGCCTTACGTAATGTGTTTACACGGGTTCGGGCGCGCCCGCTCCGCCCCGCCCCGCCGCCGGCATCGTTCGAAGATGCCGGGCTGGGCCGGGTACCTCTGGTGGTGTGGCGGGTACTTGTCTGGTACTTGGAGTGGGATGAGCAGCCCGACGGCGTCATCTTCCTCTGCCCTGGCGGGGCTACTTCCGGGTGGGTGCCGGCCGAGGGGCGCCGACACCCTCGAGGTGCACGTGCTGGCCCACCCTAAGGCCAGCCACCCTCGCGGGTGGCGCTCCTTGTAATGTCCACACCGACGCGATTTAGTACCAATTCCATATCAAAGGATGGGTAAAGGGATCGTCTAGAGAGTACGTCCGTTTTCTCGCATTCGTTCTGCACATTACGGGAGATCGGCGCCTGGGAGACGTAGGATAGGCACATCCGCAGTGCAAGTATGCGCGGCAGGTGAGATGTTGCCTACCTGTCAGGCGCCACGAGAGCTTACATAGGCTGAACTTGGCACTTTCAAAACCGCAAATGTCGGACGTACTTCCTGGATGATCCCTAAGTTGACACATGTTCGTCCACCAAAGCCAAAACCTGAGGGCTAAGTCCGTGCGACTAAAAAGTTTTTGAGCCCAAATCTTTGCCTCCTATAGGTCGAAAAATGTTAAAAATATTATTTACTATTTTTTGTTAGTGAAACTCCAAAATCAAAAACCTCAAAAATGAAATTAAAATTTTCTGTTGCTTGCCCTTACTTACTTACTTAGGAATGCATGCGAAAGAACTTTTAGGGCACTCCAATAATTAGGGAGTTATATATAGGACACCATTGTCGTGTCTTTCATTTTCATTAAAGCCACTGGTTTAGCGCAAAAAAACATGAAAATGCTATGTTATTTCTCGCCACTGATATGCCTTTGTACACCTGTACTCGGCATCAAATCAGTATAATTCAGGTGCGGCGTCCTGTGTTGGCGAGAGAAAGAAAGAGAGACTGTGAAGGCGAGATAAAGAGGGGGAGAGGGGGTGGGCGGGAGAGGGGAGGCTGGTGGCTGCGGCGGCTGGCTGTGTGCAAGCGCCGCGACGTACGTCGATCCGGGTACCCGTACTGGTACCCGCGTTCGCACACACCGGTTTTGTGTCGACACACACACGCTCTCCAACCGGATTTCTTTCCTCGGCTTTTTATTTGCGTCAGAGGTGGCCTGGAAAGCTCTCTTTTCCGCATGCAAAATACCCAATACTTCATTACCCATTGCGGCCGTTTATTTGGGTCGTGCACCCTGTTTACTTGACTCCGCTCGGGCATCGCTCTACGCCTTTGCGAGGAAATGCCCCTGCCGGATACTTGTTTGATAGATTGCGCGCACTCGCGGATTCAGCTTGTTTTACAATTAAGGAAACATTTCTGTGATGAATCGGAAGCAATATTTCAGCTCGAGGATGTGCACTAAAAGAAGGCAATACTGTTTATACCGTTTTGATTTTAGTGCGCAACGGTCCTATGTATCATAGGCTGGTCTGGTGGTGGTAGAAGTGAGTACCCGGTCGGTACCCGGTTTGAAAACGAAAGCGGCCGTGCTGTGGAGTGGGGGCGGGTGAGGGGATTAGGGGGAGGGGAAGACAGGGGGATTTTCCTGGGGGTAAAGTGGGGGTGGCGAGTGGCGCGTAGAGGGGTAGTCGAGGCGAGGAAAGATTGGGAGGTGGGGGAACCGGGTACCCGGTTGTGTCGAAAGCAGGTCGCGGGGCGTTGTGGAACGAAAGTGGAGCGTCTGACGACGTGGCAAGCCAGGAGTGGGGGCTCACCAGATGCTTGCCAACCGGTAACCGGTTACAACCGGTTTTCTCATTGCAAAACGAATCCAATTAGAAACTCAACATGTTGGCATTTAAAGGAACAATTGTTGGGAGGAAAATAAAACAAGCAAACAAGAAGGGCCAGTAAAACAAAGACAAATTACTGAAAAGGCAAGTGTAGTGCCGATCCCTGTTAAAGCGAGCGTGAAAGGGGGCACTTTACCCCCGATAGAGACAGTCTTGGAGACTGGTCTGAAGGGGCCTGTGTCGTTGTTCCTGTGAACTTTGAAGAAGAGGGAATGGGTCACCAAAAGGCCTTTGTTTTCCGCTGTGGCCCCGCGCCACAGGCACAATCGCAGAAAGAAACGGAGAATGGGGAGAAGGAAGAGGATGAGGAGGAAGAGGAAGAGGATAGGAGAGGAAGAGTAGGAGGACAACGAGATGAGGAGGAGGAGGACAACGAGATGAGGAGGAGGAGAAAGACAAGGAGATGAGGAGGAGGAGGAGGACGCGCCTGTACCAAACCACCACGCTGCGTCGCGTGGCGTCGCCCCCTGTGGAGCATAAGTCAAATCATTACGGGTGGGGGCGCACGGGGGCCGCGTGGGGCGCGACAGTCTGCCATGCCAAGCGGATACGGCACCGCGCAGACGGCGGCGGGTGCAGCGGCGGCCTGGCCTGCCTGCCCACGCGCGCGGAGCGCCTGTTGCATAGGCAACCCCGCCGAGCAGCCGTGCCGGCGGCGAGTGCTGTTGGCCTACCCAGCCAGGCGCTCGGCCCGCTCCCGCGAAGTCCTGGGAGGCAGCGGAGGCGGCGGCTCTGAGGAAATGGCGATACACCTCCGGCCCGGGGATCGCATGGAATAAACGTGGCGCAACGCGATAGGACCGCCCTCGTTCAAGCGCATGCGCTTCGGCGATCTCTCGGGAAAACGAACGCCGACTTCATGCGTCACCCCCACACATCTCACTGCGATCCTGCGATCGCGGTAGTGAGCGGTGAACGAGGAAGCGTCGCCCTCCCTCGCTCGTCGATGCCGCTGCTCATCCTCCCCCCCCCCCTCTCTCTTTCTCTCTCCCCCATTCATTTTTCTCTAGCGCGTCTCTTCCTAGCACACTTCTCTCGGCTCAGCTCGCCCAGGCTCGCCCACGCCTCCACGCGGCTAATGAGGGAAATGCTGATGTGATGATGGCGCCGGATCAGCAGAAGACGCAAAGCACCAAACATTGTTTGTTAGCCTCCTTACGTTGGAAACCAAGGGGCGGCGACGGCGGCCTAGGAGGAGGAGGCCTGTTGCATAAAGAGTGATGATCAGTGGATTGTGAGAGAGAAAGAGAGACAGGACAGCGAGCGGGGGATTTCGGTTTGGTTATTGGTGTGAGAGAAAAGGAAGGATGTAAAGAAGGTGGGAGGAGGAGGAGGACAGGAGGAGCACGAGGAGAGAAAAGGGGGTGGGGGGAGAAGGCGTACAACAGCACGGTGGTTATTTGATGAGACGACCGAGTCGACCGAGTGCGACAGTAAACATGGGGACGACAACGGTGTTTTAGTTTTATGGTCGCTTACGTCGCCCGAGTAACCATGACATGACGTCTGTACGAATAGCAAATAATAGGCACTTTGAAAAAAAGTAGGGAGGGGTGGGGGTATTGGAAAAAAAATGCTCGCGTTCCCGTAAAAAATGTTTTCAAATTTGTAATGAGTATGCAAATTAAACGGCCTTGCCGTTCTAGATTTTCGCATTCTTCTCCCGGTCGCTCATTTCCTAACAGCACGAGTGGCCTGGTGTGGCC